TAGGTAATAGGGGTTCTGCCGCAACTCCACTGGAGCCAGATTTATATACCTATACCACCACTACAAATGGCATTTTTTATGCCAAAATGACAATGCGATTCAACGATAGTCATGAGATTAAGTTAAATTGACTCTAGCTCACCACCACCTGGAGTCTATGATTTAAATTTTTATAGGTAATGGGGGTTCTGCCGCAACTCCACTGGAACCAGATTTATATACCTTCTACAGGTGGCATTTTTTATGCAAAAATGACTATGCGATTCAACGATAGTCGTATTAAAAGAAACATCAATATTAATTAATAATGAATAAACTTTAAAAGGTGTAGGAGCAATAAAAAAATTAGCCACCGCGGCTAAGGTATCTAAAGATGTGGCCAAGGATTGGTTAAAGAAACAAGCGATGTGGCAAATATATTTACCGGCACCGCGTTATATACCGAGGAAGAAGTTTGATATTTTTACAACGAATGAAGTTCATCAGGCTGACCTCTTGTTTCTTCCCCACGATAAGGTAAGACGCAAAACGTATAAATACATTTTAACAGTAGTGGATGTGCCTAGTCGATACAAAGAGGCTGAGCCATTAACCTCGAAAGATTCAACAGAAGTAGCTAATGCACTAAACGCGGACCACTAAAATGGCCAAAGCTATTTCAAGTAGATCCCTGTCGCGAGTTTATGGGATCGATAACTAAACTGTTAACAAAGCACGATGTCGAAATCAGGCGTGGTGAAAGAGAGGCCCACCGCAGTCAAGCTATCGTGGAAAGATTTAATAGGACATCAGCGGAACGTTTGTTTGGCTATCAGTATGGGATCGAAATGAAATCCGAGCGATTGAGATCAACCGAATGGGTGACACGATTATCAGCCGTTGTATCAGCGCTGAATAATGAAGTAACGAGATTAATATGGAAGAAACCATCCGATGCTATTAAAATGAAATCCGTGACTTCCGAATCTTCAGCACCGAGGAGAGGCAAAGAACGAAAACTTCCGGATAGAGTAAGGGTAAGATATTTATACCAGCCCGGTGACCTCGAAGGAGGCCTACGTCGCGCAACCGATCCCATATGGTCCCTTAAGACATATAACATTAGTCGATTGATTATGAAAGAAGGAGAGCCTATTCTTTATTATCTTCAAGATGGACCGGGTATACGTAGGGCATTTGTACGAGAAGAGTTGTTCATAGTTCCCGACGGTACGGTATTACCACCATAACCATAAGCATAGGTAGTTACACCATCCTTATCAATCCATCTCTTTGTATCTAAGGGGGATAATGATGTCTTGTTCATTCTTAATCCATATATCCTATGATTGTAACTTCTTAAAGAGTTCATCTCGTGTTTGAACGTTCTACCGTTGAATAATGATTCTTTATACTGTTCGTGTTTGATATGCTTTTTTACAACATACTTCTTAACGCCCTTAGCTTTTCTTATCTCCCCATTATCGGACTTCTTTATAGAATACATCTTAGGTCTTAATCCGACATACTCCACTATAGGGGTCCCAGCACATTCATCCTTCATCTTACCTAACACCTTTTTATTTACTACGCTGTGCAGTGGATTATCTTTTGAGTAATCGCTCGTGTCGTACATATCTATTTTTTCTGCCATATCTTTATACACATCCTCGGTTTGTATTTCCATCAACAAAGAATCTGTGTCGGTATATAACACCTCGCATCTATCGCCGTATTGCTTCTTAAGTTCGTTGTAATAAAAGTCATATATTAAGTGTTTTGACAAGTCGAGAATACTCATACCGACGTACACCGGTCTGTTGAATTTTATATTACTCTTCTGCATATGCAACGCGGCTAAGTCGTTATCGAATATCTTGCTTCTGTTAAAAGCCGGACTGGCTATAAGTTTCCTGAGTCTTTCTTCCTCATTAGATCTGACTAATTTAACATCAACACGCTTCCTTAGATTCTCCATAGTTTTACCAAATACTGAGTTATTCATGAGCTTATATAGATTCTTTTCGAAATCGCTGGTAGCTATCTTTCTTAAATCTGTGTTCAACCTTATATAGGGCTCCATCCAAGAGCTTTGATCAAACTTTAGAACTCTGTGTATTTTCTTAAGTTTCATACCTAACGATAGATACAACTGGAGATTTCTGTAGTGAACTATATATTTTGTCTTATCCATCAAATTTGGTACGAGTTCTTCTACGTTAGCTAACCTACTATTACCCATCAAGGAGCGTTGATATTCCGACATCCAATCTTTATTAACCATTAATCTTTCGGGAGCTAGCGGATAACTGTTATGATCTTTATGTATTGAACTTGGATATTCCAAGTCAACTTCTAGTATGTACCCTTTATTCGCATCATTCACATTGATATTATGGATATCATCCACTTCGATATCATTCTTATCGACCCACTCAAAACCACCCGTGGGTAAAGGTTGACTCATAGCCCATCCGTACAAATTGTTAGCGTCGAGATATAATATGTGCGTGTCGGGTTTACTCGGATCGTATCCTTCCACTAATTTATTATTAGCCTTAGAATACCTTTTCGCCGCCATCGATATACCACCTCTTAATCCTTTCTCAATAAACAAGTGCATATCGTAATCTGTGAGTAGTTTTAGTTCTACACCTGTCTTCTTCAACAATGCATCCCACGATAGTCCGGGACTGGAATAGTACCATGCCGGGTCCAAGCCGTATTGTTTTAAACATGTCTTTCTAAATATCTCGAATATATCGGCGAGTAACAGTACATCGGTTTTTAAGTACAGATCGTGATAATCGCCTAAATTCTTACAACCTAATTTATCCCAGACCGTCAGAGCGTGTTCATAATCGGTATCTGTTATTTTAGATTCTGTTAAGTTACTATAGAATGATTCAAGGGGTGGTAATTCAGTTTCTTCGAATCTAGACCAATCATCCATATATTCGTAAGGATATACACCTTTTCTCAGCAACAAATGACGAGTTATCTTATCGGTATATTTATTTGATATCGCAAAGTTATCGGGATTGTTCGCATTAGCTAAATTGTCCAGGGAAGATAACAGAAACTGTACGGAGTCTATGAATCTAAGCCCATTACTTTGCTTTATTCTAGCTTGCCCATCCTTGTCCCTATAATGTATAGGTTTAGTCAACGAGAACGAGAACGATATGTATTTTTCCATATTATTAGGAATGCACGTTAAACCGCCGTCGGCCTTTGAGATGCTTGCATGATCCGGCAGTAAAGAATGTTAGTTTAAATTTGGTTACTGAATTCAATGAAATTAAAGTTAACTTGAGTGCAATACCTAATATTTCTACGCTTATTATTGAAGTCTTGTTCGGAGATACACCGGTAGATGCCTTCGAAATATTACCAGGTCTATCGATTAAATGGCTCAAGAAACACGAGCGTCAACGTTGCAACCCTCGAGGGGGGCCAAATTGTTAAAAGTGACAGCATTTCTCTTTCTAAGATATTCTTGCCGTATAATATACATTTGATAAGGTTGATGTATACTCTCAAAACATTTAAGCAAGATCAATTAAAGACTATTATGTGATCGTAATATACACTATGGGTTTATATCCAGAGCTCGATGAAGCATTTGAAAAGATGGATACTTTCGATGGATTTCGATAACATCAAATAAGTGACATAAAACATCGAAAAGAGAAGGAGAGGGAGTTGAGACTTGGATTGTATAAAAAGTATCGCAGAGCCGTGAATGCTCTGGACGGAGTTGACACCGCGCTTGTAGCAGCTGGCATGGGACTCGGTGTAGCAGGTGTTAGTTTATTATCAACTATAATCGCCGCGTCTATCGTGCTCGGCATGGAAATAGCGGCTGGAGTCTCGGGACTGGCAGGAATAACGATAAAATTCATTTCTCGTAGGTTGCAAAAGAAAGCATTAAAACACGATAAGATTCGGATCCTCGCCGAAGCAAAGTTGAACTGGATTGAGGATCATATTTCGACAGCAATGGCCGATTGTAAGATATCCGAGGATGAGTTTCGTTTAGTGCTGTCGGAACTCACCAAATACAATGTAATGAAGCATGAGATTCGATCAAAATATCGTAAGACCAGTGGTATTAGCGAAGACGAGAAAAAAAAGTTCATAGAACAGGGGAGGCAACAAGCGCATCAATTATATTCCGTGCCAAAACGAAAGAACTGGTTGGAGATTAAAAATAGATTGCTTACTATCGTTAGATCACATTTAGACAAATGCGTACATAAATATATAATAATGGAGAATTACAACCCAACAATCGAAAAAGCTATTAAATGGAGAGAATTACCACAAGGTTTTTATTATATCAGTGATGTCAAACCAACCAAATCCGGTTATCAATTGTTTCTTATCAATTTCCAAGAAGAGTGTAGTTATATAGTCTGGTCTCCTAGTAAAATGAACGAAGAACTTAATGAAAATGTTGAATATCGCTTTATTGATAAAAATAATAAAGAATATTTTCATTACCATTTAGGCTCATCTGAACTAATGACAACATTGATTGGCCCCAGGTATTGGTGAGCTGGAGCCAATTTAACTTAATCTCATGACTATCGTTGAATCGCATAGTCATTTTGGCATAAAAAATGCCATCTGTAGTGGTGGTATAGGTATATAAATCTGGCTCCAGTGGAGTTGCGGCAGAACCCCTATTACCTATACTTCTAACCTCCATTCAGATGCATGCGAGTTGAACCCAGAGGCAGGTGGATCGGAACACAAAGTTTGTGCTGGCTTGTGTAATTGACCTACATATATGTATGGTCACGACAGTCGGACCGACGGGCTACACGCAAGACGTTTCCCCGGGAATCCGAAGTTGGAGATGGGTCCTTTATGATAAATCTATTTTCATGTCTGACGGTCACACACGTTTAATCACGTTTGGCTCACTGCTCTGCAGGATCAAGTAGCAAACACTTGCTATTTTTAATGCAGATTGTGTGAGTGACGGATTCGACTGGGGAGCATGACATACTTACATTTTAGACGATCTTTTAGATCTGCAATCACCACCGAGTTTTAATTGATCTTCATGTATTTTTCACCTCTAGTTTGCCATTTACGTCCAATGGAATCTGTTTCGGGTAATCGAGACTGTTTTCTGCTCTGGCGTTGAGTGTGAACTTCTTCGCCGATTTCAGTAGGATTCACTCAATACGAGGGCCTGTAAAAAGATTCCAAGTCTGACTAATTTTCAACTATGGGCCATAACAAAGGGTCAATGTAGTACATTGTTTGATAAAAGGCGACAATGCTTGCCATAAAAGGCGACTAACGGGATCGGGTGGTCAGGCTCGCTGACTTGGTTGAAGCATGTCATCGATTCCAATTGCGTGGATCGATGCTCATGATATCAATCACTGGATTGTCTGGTCCAGACTCGATTATTTACAGACCGCCGTCATATAGCTGGAATATTGCTGAGTGCGGCGTAAAACAACAAACCAAACCAAGCCAAGACATTGTTTGGGTAGTTTATTGCAAGACTAGTGTATTTGGTCTGTTGAGGCCGTTTGTATATTAGTCGCAGCCATTTGAACGTCATAGGGGTCCAATTGGACACAGAAACGGAAAAGAACGAGGACCGAGCAGTCATCAAGCTTTTGACTTCAGAAACAAATACTGGCCAAGAACGTCATTACCGCATGTCACAAGTGTTTGGGGATAAGTGCCCCAGCTATTCCATTGTTAAACGTTGGGCAGCTGTTTTTAAGGCTCGGAGAACAAGCCTTGATGATGGCCCTAGGTCAGGACGACCCTTAACTTCCATCAATGAAGATTCAATCAAGGAAATAGAAAAAATTATACTGCCAGATAGACGCATTACCATTGCTGAACTTGAGGAAGACACGGGTCAAAGCCATGGATCCGTTGAAACTATTCTTCATTAACATTTACAGATGAATAAGATATCTGCTCGTTGGGTGCCAAAGTTTCTAAATTCTGATCTTAAGGAAAAAGGAACTGACATTCTTTACGGATAATGTTGAGCTAGTTGAGGATTTCGTCAAATTCAAAGAGAGATTAGTAACATGGGTCTGCACTATGATCCCAAGTTAAAACGTCAATCCATTGAATGGCACCATTCCACTTCTCCGGTACCAAAGCAATACAAGTCTTTAACATCAGTGAAGAAAGTTATGGCCACTCTATTCTGGGATGCAAATGGTGTGATTCATGTTGATTACTTAGAGAGTCAAAAGACGATTGCCGGTGCCCACTATGCTGATTCAAAGAAAAATGGCGAGTAAAGCTGACTGCTGGAGTTCTACTTTTTCAAGGCGATGCCTATTCTGACACCTTTCGACTGCTGTGCGACAATGTGGGTTCGAAGTCCTTTCTCACTCCATACTCGCCAGACCTGGCACCAACTGATTTTCACCTGTTTCCTAAACTGAAAGAACACCTTCCTTGAAATCGCTATGACGACAAAGATGACCTCAAAGCTGCCGTGAATGGGTTTTTCAAGCGCTAGAAGGCTTCTTCCTGACTGGAATTGAACAGCTACCATATCGATATGAAAAGAAGGGAGATTATGTTGAATAGTAAAATTAAGAACACTTTCACTATTGTTGGATTTGTTTGTTAGGCTCAGAACCCTTTGACCTGGTCCCGTGTATGTACACCCAAAATAAATGACTTAAGGACCCTTGTTGGGTTAATTTATTAAAACGGACCAGCGACTGACAAATCTGATATATCACTGGTCATTTTGACTGCCAGTGGTCTGTGTTTTGGCTTAGAAAATGAGCCGTTTTGATGCACCCTTTAATAAAATCTTTATATTTACATTATTTGAAATATTTCCGTCAAGATCACATGGTGATGGTATTATGCCATTTTTCTGGTCATGCATTGTCAGTTATCTTCATCTGATGCGTGTCTCTGTTGGAGTGCATCACGCTCATAGAGTGCATGGTTAGTCCGTGTAACTGCTAAACTCTGTCTGGAAGGGAATGGCAGCGGCACCAGATTTGGCCAGACTTCTCTGTTGAAGATAACTTGTTTCCTTTGCTTTCTGGAAATTTTACAGAATTCCGAACTCCCAATTTTGAATTTCGATTTTCAGCCTACGAAATTATTCATCTTTCTTTTTTGTGATAGTAGGAAGCGCTTGAGATAGTTGAACCACCAACACGTGTCACTTGCTGTTGATTCTAGATCTCCACATTATGTTTCGTGGTCGTTGGTTTTACCAAAGTCTTAAACGTCTGACACCTGCATAAATTTGGGCTTTCCTCAAGATTATACTGAAGCGGCGTTAAACCAAACTCACTATTCTAGATCGGAGTCCGTCATGACTTGTGTACTTTTCTGTGTGACCGCGGTGATTCCGGGTACAAATATTGGTCTTCAGCAACCTGTACTTGTAGAGAGAGGCAACGAAACGGATTGGGTGGTCATGTTCGGTGACTTGGTTTATCATACGGGGACGAATGAATGAGTATGGTTTTACGCCGCTTTCAGCAATATTCCAGCAATATCACGTCGGGGGTCACCACAAATGGGCTTCACACACATACGGGGACGAGGTAGATCATTGCTCATTATATCAATCACTGTACTATTGCTGGAAATGTAAACAAAACAATAAAAGGTCTTCGCTATGTGAGTGACATAATGCAGACGCTATGTTATATAAATAAATATATAAACGTTATATATCACTACATTCACACTTGCAACAACGAAAATAGCGTGCTGATGTGTCACGATGCAAACATCTCTATTATCTATTAACTAGACCCACAACATACCTTCTCCATGCATTACATGTGTCAAAGCTTTCAGGTCAAAACCTGTTATCTTCCCTGATTGTGTTATTGAAGTGTCATCATTAATCTGTTGCAGATTCCGTAACTTAATCTAAACTGGACATCACATGCATCAATCGTTGTCAAAATGATCAAAATATATTTTAAAAGTTGTTTAAACAGTAAATTTGTCAATATTGCATTCATATACGTCTATGTGACGTAGTGGTTATTAGGTAATGTTATATCATAATATGACATGAAATAATATAATTTCATTGTGAATCATCATCATCATCATCATCATCATCATCATCATCTATTTATGTTCTTTGAATATTAAGCTCATGACGATCGTTATATCAATCGATATTTTTGTTTAACATTTGATTAATATGAGAAATTCGTTTTACATCATGTTACTGAACAAATCCCTTTACCTGTAAGGTATACAAACTGAAAGTTTGCATGAAATATCCCAGGAAAGGTATCTCTAAACACCGACCCTGGCTAGTGTTTCAATTTTAGACCCAGTGTCAGTCAGCAGTATGTTTGTTTGTGTGATAAATCTGCTCTGTGAGGTTTCGAAGGACATTTTTTTATCGGTATGTTTGATTTAGTTTGCTTTATAAGAGCCAACGCAGTAAACTTCTGTACTGCAGGCCTAACACTGTATAGCAGTAGACTTCTGTACTGCAGGCCTAACACTGTATAGCAGTAGACTTCTGTACTGCAGGCCTAACACTGTATAGCAGTAGACTTCTGTACTGCAGGCCTAACACTGTATAGCAGTAGACTTCTGTACTGCAGGCCTAACACTGTATAGCAGTAGACTTCTGTACTGCAGGCCTAACACTGTATAGCAGTAGACTTCTGTACTGCAGGCCTAACACTGTATAGCAGTAGACTTCTGTACTGCAGGCCTAACACTGTATAGCAGTAGACTTCTGTACTGCAGGCCTAACACTGTATAGCAGTAGACTTCTGTACTGCAGGCCTAACACTGTATAGCAGTAGACTTCTGTACTGCAGGCCTAACACTGTATAGCAGTAAACTTCTGTACTGCAGGCCTAACACTGTATAGCAGTAGACTTCTGTACTGCAGGCCTAACACTGTATAGCAGTAAACTTCTGTACTGCAGGCCTAACACTGTATAGCAGTAGACTTCTGTACTGCAGGCCTAACACTGTATAGCAGTAGACTTCTGTACTGCAGGCCTAACACTGTATAGCAGTAGACTTCTGTACTGCAGGCCTAACACTGTATAGCAGTAGACTTCTGTACTGCAGGCCTAACACTGTATAGCAGTAGACTTCTGTACTGCAGGCCTAACACTGTATAGCAGTAGACTTCTGTACTGCAGGCCTAACACTGTATAAGACATGCTGATTAACGACACGCTGGTAAGATAGACAACATATGACAGTAGACTGCCCAAATGTAAAGCGTTGTGCACACCACCCTGCATATTCAACCAGATTGTTTGCGCAGGCCACTAGTCAAAGGGTTGTCAGATATAATTTCTTGTTTCTTTATACAATACGCTACGACAGTCAATTGCAGCTTGGTACAGTACCTTGCGACAGGCAATTGGAGGTCAGATCATCTTGCGAGAGTTATGTGGGCAATTGGCGAGACGGCCTTTAGTATTCTACGTCAGCAAAACCAGAGTATCTACTTCCGCCTTCTACACCGACGTATTCAAAGTCCAGGAGGCTATGCAGACGAGTGTGGATATATTACAGCTACATGTTTATTTAGAGAGACAGCATAATGACATGGGTATTTTATTGCTATATCAGTCATACTTTGCAACTACCGATTGTTTGGTCTCAGTTGGATACTGTGTTTCTCCAACGTCTGGCGAATGTGTCCTTGAAGTCGGCCTATAACAAGGTAGGTAAATCATTAGCTTGACACACATCAGCACATGACCAATATGCGAAAATGTGGTAAGTTCATTAGGTCAAAATATTTGACTTCAAATGGCTACTGTTAATTGTGTTTACTGATCCGGGGTAATCTGTTTACTTGTTACGCTCGACGTCTTTTGACATGGCGTCCTTTAACTTGCCTCGTGTTCTAACTATTCACCAACTGAAGAAAAGGTGTGAATTGTGTTATTGCAACTGTGCAATGCGATATTTCTGAGTAGGTCTACTTTCAGTATTATACTTCATTATGTATGTAATGGCGGATGTATTGTTACTTGACGAATAAGTGTGTGTGATAAAGAATATGACTTGCACTGTGTGACTGCGGTAATTAGAACTACTTGTCACGGTCATTTTGATGAGAATAAAAAAACATACCATACAAACAATTAACATGACGTGACACTGGCTTCGTGTTGAGTGACACACTCACTGTCCAAGTGTTGCCATACATAAATACGCATAAACAGCAGACACGCGAGGACACGCGCTGCACATATTGCGTGTCATGATTGAGCGATCTTACCTAGTTGTAAAGAAATGTCGGCTGAACTATTATACCCCCTTGTTGTGTTGAGTTGGGCGACTTTGAATTGTATATCGAAAGTACAGTGGGTATTCCTCCACAATTCCCGATGAGTCACGAATACTCCGAAATGGATTTCCCTTAGTAAGAGAGAGAAAGAGAGTGGGAGAGAGGGAAAGAGAGAGTGTGAGAGAGGGAAAGAGTGCGAGAGAGAAAGAGAATGAGAGAGAGAGGGAAAGAGTGAGAGCGAGAGAGGGAAAGAGTGAGAGCGAGAGAGGGAGAGAGAGAGTGAGAGCGAGAGAGGGAAAGAGAGTGAGAGAAAGAGAGGGAAGAGAGAGAGAGAGAGATATTCTCTATTTTCTCCAAATATCAGTATAAATTGACAACGTAGCACACCAAGTTTTCGTTGAGACACCTTTTGGTAATATCTACAATTGAGTATTTTTAGGCATCGCAGATTTTCCATGTATAAAATTTCTTGTTTGCCAAACCTGGTGACTTGTTGCAGATGTTGCATTCAGTATCACTTGTTGTGCCAGGGTTGTTTGTTGACCTCAGTATTTATCCACTCCGGTAGGTCAAGGTACATACAACACTCATGTAGCCTTTCTAAAATAAACAACCTCGGCTCCGTCTGATTGTGCATCTGCGTAACATCCAACAATTATGATACGAGAACCTGATGTTACGTCTCAGTGTCGCCTATTGAATTTAACAGAAGCCGTGACTTTCAATTTCGTTTTTATTTTCACTCCATAGATTAAGATTTCCCTGTCTCACAATGTAAACATGTCGCAATACGTGGCTGGTCACGGTTGCGAGTAAATAACGACGCAGGAGACACAGGACACACGAGAAGCTATCTGAGCCTTGTCGTAAGTCTATGTTAAAGTATGGGAGTTACGATCACCTTAGAGCAATGGTCGCTTTGTGTAACGAGTGGATATGTCAGGTATTACTGGCTCACGTTCAATGATGAAGTGCTGCTACTGTTTGGTCTTTATACACCTGTCCTCATTCTCTGTGTTTCAGTGAAGCATCTCAGGACATACATCTCGACTTCAGGGTCGCCTGGAGAAGGGGATTTCATGTTCGCTGTCGTTTGTGGAGTATCCTGAGATGTACGGTATGTTGGTTTGGGGTTTTTTATTGGTTTTTTTTCAAAATCTGTTCTTATTCCGTTGATTCCCTTTATAAGGACTCTCTTCACGCCGAAGACCCGGGTTCGATTCCCGACATGGGTACAATGTGTGAAGGCCATTTCTGGTGTCCCCCGCCGTGATATTGCTGGAATATTGCTAAAAGCGGCGTAAAACCATACTCACTCACTCATTATAACTTGTGACCGCCGCCTTGGTCTAGTGGATAGAGCGTCAGCTCGGAGAACGGAAAGTCGGTGGTTCGATTCCCATGCCAAATACGTAAAAAGATCGCATTTGTTGTTTCAGACAGACATATTTATTTCGTTTATGTGACCATGAGGTCAATAGTACAATGACATGTAGGACAATTCGTCTTGGAGCACAACTTGTATATTGTGACTGAATAGATGCACACATTTGAGTTTTAGTAATATTCAATGTATCATATTTCTTTTAAATTTGGGGACACGGGTGGCCCAGCCGTCCAAGGCGCTGCGATGATTCGCTGTGCAGAGTTGCGTCCCTTGGGTACGCCAGAAATCTATGATTCTGGTTTCGAATCCCGGTTCGTCCCGATTATGTTTCTAGGTTTGTCAGCACCATACCCGTGCTCGTGGGTTTCGCCGAAGTGGTAAACGTCTGAGACCTGCATCACTTCGGGCTTTTCTCCCACATTAAGCTGAGACGCCGTGATATAACGGGACTACTGTTAAAAGCGGCGTTAAACCCAACTCACTCACTCACTCTTTTAAATTTCTTCTAAGAAAAATGTGACTATTTTTGCTGTTCACTAACTGTAACAAATATGCTTTGTGTTGGATCATATGATAATAGTTAGGCGGGTAGTTGATTCTTACATCTTCATATACTGGACATATTAATAACACGTGGTATTCATCTTCTTGGTAATGTTGCAGTAGGGACACCTCGATGTTAAAACATCATTTTCTTTGGAATATCTGTATAACTGAATATTGAGGGTACTCGTATGTATACCACACCTGAACTTCGTTAAACATCTGCGTAAACATATAGATCGAATAGTTGTTTAATGCATTTCTGGTATTATTTCCATTTTAAACATGGAATAGGCATGTAGCGATTTTGAACATCTGATAACAGCTGACCAGCTTTGACAATACGTATCTTAACATCGTTGTTTAAACATTTTTATGAACACGGAATGCCCACGCATATGAAAATCGATATGAAAAAAGAACTTCTCCAACACCTGAGTCCCAGTTTATATCCCCAAGGTCACCAAGGTGTTTAAGCATGTATAAGCCTAGTCCAGAGCATCGTGTATCTGGCTGTCTGAGCAAACGCTTCCAGTATGAGGTGAGGTGAAATTGGGTTTAACGTCGCGTCCAAGATTATTGCACTTATATAGCGACGTGCATGCACGTGTATGTGTGTGTGTGGCTGCTTGTACTAGTCCGGACTGATGCCGATTTATAGTGCTAGCTCACTGAGATACCATGCCGCAGTTTAACATGAATACCCCACTCAGACACAGTATACTGACTCCGAGCCGACCAGTCCTTGTTTTAGCCCCTTAATGCCGAGCGCCAGACAGGGTAACAACAAGTACAATCTTTTAACGTCTTTTTGTATGACGCGGCCCGGGATCGAACCCTGGACCTTCCGCTCTCCGGGCGGACGCTCTACCACAAGACCACGGAGGCGGTCTCCAGTATGAGATAACTCCGCATGAGTAGTTTACATATGTCGGGTACCTTCCGTAGGCGACGCCAAGAACACATTAACAAAATTTTGTATGAATTTGCGATATAAGGTTCCCCAAAGTGCCGAGCCGTACTACAGTACGTATTGAGTGAGTGAGTGAGTGAGTGAGTATGGTTTTAGGCCGCTTTTAGCAATATTCCAGCAATATCAAGGCGGGGGACACCAGAAATGGGCTTCACACATTGTACCCATGTCGGGAATCGGACCCGGGTCTTCGGCATGACGAGCGAACGCTTTAACCACTAGGCTACTAGGCTCCGCCCCAGTACGTATTGGCTGTATTTTACCATCAAATATCCTAAACAGCGATTCAACAGGTATATTTCTCAAGTTACTAACAAACTGCTCAGCTGAATACATTGCTTATCTGCTTGCCTTGAAAGTACTTCACATGCTTTTGTAAATAAACTTCGACATGCAATTGTTTATATTATATTATATTATATCTACTCCACTGTATAAACATTGCCTCCTACTTGTATATATACATGTACTTGTTTACTACACTCTGTAAATCACTTGCTTGATAACGGTGTTAGAACCTACACCGAAACGTCGCTCTTAATTGTAATAAAGAAGTTGTAAATACTCAGCCATAAATTACTATCCTTACTTATGCAATTGTTGAGCCAAGATATTTGTAGTACATGATACTACTTCTAGTCTTTCTGGACCATTTCTCATGTTTAGATATATTTCCTCCTTTCGTAAAAACAACAACTTTTGTTTTGTTAAAATTAACAGACACTCCCTACTTAGCACAACATTTATATAGAATATATATCTTTTTCTGTAAATGTAGAACACTATCTGCAAATATTGCAACGTTATCCGCAAATAGTAAAATCGCTAATGCCTGTACAACTTCGTCTATAAAAATACCAACACATCAGTGTATTCACAAGTTCATCAATGTATAAGATAAAGAGGAGTGGTGATAGTATACATCCCTGTCTTACAACTGCGCTTGTATTGTATACATCAGTCATAGTATATTAACTACGTATACACCTGGCAGGTGCTTTTACGTTTCCATATATACTTCTAAGTAGTCTACTTATCTCACTATGTATACCTTTACAGAGCAAAGAAGTTTATTTCGATCCAAGTTGTCAAAGCATTTTTTAAGTCAACAAAAATACAGTAAAATTTTCGACACTTCTTTCTGAACCCTGTTTGACATTCTGACAGTATCTGTTGGGTCAAAACCAAAAAGTGTATGCCAGATTCAATAACTCCTATGAATATTTTACTTGTAATATTCAACATAGAAATGTCTCTGTATTTATTTGCGTCATCCTTCTAGCCGGATTTATGTAATGCGACAATATGTCCAAGATTCGATAATTCCGGGAATTGCACTTGTTGTTTCGATACCTAGCGTTCGGGATTAACCGGATGAAACAGAAACTGGTCGGCTCGGTGTCATTATACTGAAAAAATAATTGTCCCAGAAAATGATTTGAAATATTCATGCTTTAGGCTGTTGAAAAAAAAATCGTCTGCCACAAAGTATACATTGATGCCAGATGTTGTTTTACATGAACGTTATTCTCATAGATGTTGTGTTGTTATTGTTTATAAAAAGAAGTACCTGCTGTATAAAGCAGGCTTCCGTATAGGGTAGCAGGAAGCCCGTGACATGAAAAGAATATTTCTCAGTAAATCTTAAATTTTTTCAGGTAGTAACATACATCTCACGCACACATTCACTCTAGTAATACAAATAAACTGCACATATCACGCACGCATAAACTATTGCAGCCTATATATTACATTGCAGTGCCGAAAAGAACGTGATCCAGTGTAAAACTAAAATTGAAAGTGTAAAATGAAAACTGCTAGTCATTGTCGAAAAGTGTATGATACAGCATCCAAGCTCCATCGATTTCTGTTGATCTTTTTCAGTGATGTATTGATTGTTTTCTCTGCCTTATTCCTCTAATAATTTTCTTTTTAATTTAAATGCGTTGCCTTTTCAATTACTTTGGAGTGATAACCGGGACAAAGTAGAGGGGATTGAAGTTTCTCAACCTTTGAAGCAAGGGGGCTTGGGTATAGTGAATATGCTTTCATATGTAACATCTCTTAAAACCACGTGGATAAGGAGACTTGTGTCCTCAGCTGATCAAACACAGAAGCACATATTTGCATCAACACATACTTACTTGTGTAATCTTAGTGAATTTGGTATAACAATCTGTGAGAGAAAATCATCATTGATAAGTAATAAGTTTTGGAAAAGTTGTTTTCAGTCATTTATAATGTTTGATAAGAAAATCAAGCGAGAATATTCCAGTAGTTTTTTTAACTTAAACAATTGTTCATAAACCTGACACTAAAATTAATAGGAAGTCAATTTTCTTTAAATATTGGTCTGAGAAGGGTGTCGCCCAAACTTTAGACTTGGTCAAGGAAAATAAGGCGTTTCTATCACATGACAATTTAATTAAATTATATGTTATATCTTTATCCTATTTATAATATTATGTTGTTATCAGCAGCATTAAACAATTCCTTAAATCTGTTGGTTTAGTTAAAGATTCTGTGGAGGAAAAGCGCTGTGTGGTTAAATGTAAGAATATTTATTTTTCATTGAAATCTACAGATATAAAATCTAAGCGCAGGAAAAGTGGGAATTAGAATTAAAACTGAAATTGACACAATATCTGTAATAGAATAGTCAGTACAACAAGACTGCGTTCATTTCAATACAAAATTCCCACCACTAATTCATTTCTGTATGTACTTAATTATATTCAAAATTATCTGTGTCAACGCACTCAGCAATATAACAGCTATATGTCGGTTTGGTTTGTTGTTTTACGCCGCACTCAGCAATATTCCAGCTATATGACGGCAGTCTGTAAATAATCGAGCCTGGACCAGACAATCCAGTGATTGATATCATGAGCATCGATCCACGCAATTGGGATCGATGACATGCATCAACCAAGTCAGCGAGCCTGACAACCCGATCCCGTTAGTCGCCTTTTACGACAAGCATAGTCACCTTTTACGGCAAGCATGGGTTGCTGAAGACCTATTCTACCCCGGAATCTTCAAGGGGCAGCTATATGTCGGCCGTCTGTAAATAATCGAGTATGACCAGACAATCCTGTTTTGGGCAGAGATTTCTTATGAGTATGGAAAGGGGTTTGCTCTTATCTTTGAACATCATTTGTGAAAGGTTCCATGTAAAGAAAATTGAAATTATATTACAGATGCAATAATTAAATATTTAATCAAATCTTTACTACTTTAATGTAACTTTGCATCATTGATGAAATGCAACAATCACGTTTGGTTTTGATGCCTTAAGCGACCTATTACTGTGGGTTCGAATCACAGATTCGCTCTGATTATATATTTTTAGTTCATTTGATAAATATAAAGCTTAGTTTATGTAACATAAATCAGCTGTAACATTAAAGGTGATGTCATAGCGACTGATTTATGACTACCATTGTCTGCAGTACATTTGACTCTAAGTGAGTGAGTATGATTTTACGCCGCTTTTAGCAATATTCCAGCAATATCACGGCGGGGGGCACCAGAAATGAGCTTCAAACATTGTACCCATGTCGGGAATCGAACCCGGGTCTTCGGCGTGACGTGCGAACACTTTAACCACTAGGCTACCCGACCGCCCTTTGACTCTAAGGGCAAATTACCCTGTAGCCATAAACCTAGTTGTCATTACGTTTTAGGCGTTAATCCCCGTTGTTAATCCTCACCAACATTTCAATGTATATTGACTGACAGCCAAACTGGGCTACTTTATTACTTCCCGTTAATTACTGTTATTTATAGTATGTCATTTATTGCCTTAATTGTTCATCCCCTAAGCTACGTCACCCCCGGAAGTCCCATGTCCAGTGCAACGTCATTGTATTTCCATTGTTCATAACTATATATGTGCTACCATTACACAGTTACTACGGTGTTAATCAGGCTTGGTATTCCGAGTGCTGACCTCTGATTAGGATTGAATGTACCCATCGTCACATGAAGTACGGCGTTCAAGTTATTCCGAATCAAATCCATTTAGTGTGTGAGTGAGTTGGGTTTAAGGCCGCTTTGAACAGTATTTCTGTTACATCACGGCATGTCAGTTTAATGTGGGAGGAAAGCCGGAAGAGATACAGGTCTCAGCTTCCAATTTTAGTGAAACCCATGGACACGGTGCTGACAGATCTAATCAGACAGACATAATCGGGGCGAACTGGGATTCGAACCTATGCATTTAGGTTTCTGGCGTACCCAAGGGACGCAACTATGCACAGCGAATTGCGGCGCCTTAGACGACAGTGCCACCCGTGCCCCCCAAGTAAGTTTAGCTTGATTACATGCGATCATAGACCACCTCCGTGGTCTAGTGGTAGAGCGTCCGCCCGGAGAGGAAGGTCCGGGGTTCGATCCCCGGCCGCGTCATACCCGGAGAGCGGATGGTCCGGGGTTCGATCCCCGGCCGCGTCATACCAAAAGGACCCGTTAAGATCCGGGGTAGAATAGATCTACAGCAACCCATGCTTGCCGTAAAAGGTGACTGTGCTTGTCGTAAAAGGCGATTAACGGGATCGGGTGGTCAGGCTCGCTGACTTGGTTGATGCACGGTCAACGATCCTTATTGCGTGGATCGATGCTCATGATATCAATCACTGTATTGTCTGGTCCAGACTCGATTATTTACAGACCGCCGTCATATAGCTGGAATATTGCTGAGTGTGGCGTTAAACAACAAACAAACAAACAAACAAACAAACAAATCATACCAAAAGACGTTAAAAGATGGTACTTGTTGTTACCCTGCCAGGCGTTCGGCATAAGGGGCAAAAACAAGGACTGGTCGGGTATCTCAGTGTGCTAGCACTATAAATCGGCATCAGTCCGGACTAGCACAAGCATGCACGTCGCTATATAAGTGCAATAATGCGACGTTAAACCAAATTTCACCTCACCTCACCTCGCCTCACCTCACCTCACCTCACCTCACCTCACCTCACCTCGCCTCACCTCACCTCACCTCACCTCACCTCACATACGATCATACAGGAAAGATGACTAAGCCATACAGGCATTGCCTGTCTCTCTTTCCAATCAACAGATGTTCACCGTATATATGCGTGACTACAATTATACTGACATTCACTTGATCACACTGGCCGTCAAATTGACATTTCTGTTTGTCTGTTATATACTGTAATGTTATTTAATTTCATGCCTATTTGTCCCCAGTGTTCAACGACAGAGGTGAGGTGAAGTGAAATTGGGTTTAACGTCGCGTCCAAGAGTATTGCACTCTATATATAGCGACGTGCATGCATGTGTGTGTGTGCGTGCGTGCGTGCGTGCGTGCGTGCGTGCGTGCGTGTGTGAATATGAATACCCCACTCAGACACATAATACTGACTCCGAGCCAACCAGTCCTTGTTTTAGCCCCTTGTTGCCGAGCGCCAGACAGGGTAACAACGTAACCATCTTTTATGACTCGGCCGGGTATCGAACCCCGGACATTCCGCTCTCCGGGAGGACGTTCTACCACTGGATCAAATGAAAGAACCTGTCCAATGTAAATACTCTTACCACAGATTCAACGTCATTCACTTAAAGGGGAAGTGTACACGCAAAAATCACTTTCTTTCTTTTTCTAAACAAAACGCAATTTTAGAATTAATTAGTATCTGTGTTTGAAAATATACACTCATTTTTTTCACAGTGAACGTAGGAAGCTCACAATAGTGTGAAAATGATATGCCGTTATGAGGCCTTCGTTTTTCGAGCTAAACAGGCCTGAGTTATCCCCCTTAGATTATGACGTAATTGGTGCCAATTCAACTGGGTCCCTGTCTATTCTCAACGCAAAAGATATCAAGTACCAGTTTGCGGTAAAACAACATGGCCTACGACACACTACGGCGCAGTGGTGACTCAGCATAACACTATGCTGGCTGGCATCTGAGACGCTAGAATCACACACCTGGACCTACACCACGTGAAGCGGCTCTAACAAAGCATGATGACGTCATAATGTTTATCAATTGGCACCAATGACGTCATATTGCAAGGGGCATAAGCCATGGTGTTTTTGTTGTGGAAATAGAACACTTGGTAAATGTGAAAAATATAAATCGTTTTAATGCAAAAAATATGTTAATTAATTGTGATATTTTTATATTTTTATCTATGACACTTCTATGTTAACACTTTTAATGTGGAAAAAGTACAAGAAAAATAGGTTCATTTCCGTGTGAACTTGCCCTTTAAGCGTGTTTTGAATTGTACACACTGCTCTCTTGGTTTATAGTATACAATGTTACAAGGTCCTTACTGAAGATCTACCACATTGACTGGCACAAGGGATATCTTGTTCGTTACTTCCTCAACTGAGAAAGATTCCAACAGGCCCCTTTGAAATCATTTCCGAAAGGAACACTAACGTTGTTCAGCATTTATTTGTACTGCGATCAACATTGGTTGTGACAAGGTAGATCCCACCCATCGCTGTTGTCAAACTGTACCCACGTTTGGATGTTGTTGACAAGGCCATGGCGTTCAAATGCTCCATTCAATTTATGTCGTGGGAACATGACTCTACAGCCAGTGCACTGTTTGACAAACGTGTTGTTTTCTGAATCACCTTTGCGTATTGTTATCATGGAGGATTTTGTCTGAAATTCCTTCTCATAATGGTTCAAATTGGGGCTCAGAAAATAATATTGGTTTTAATATACGATACGAAGCGAAACTAGGACATGAGGAGAACCTTATTATGTAATGCATGGTTAGCATAGGTTTGTAACACTGTTCTTTTAACTGAAACAGCTTAGGTTCTTCTGAATGTAGTGCTCGTGTGTTTTTTTCAACACCGGCAGACTAAGGTGAGATGGCTGCTTGTTAGTTGTAGTTGTCCGGACTGATGCCGATTTATAGTGCTAGCTCACTGAGATACCATGCCGCTGTTTAACATGAATACCCAACTCAGACACAGTATACTCCGAGCCGACCAGCCCCTTTATGCCGAGCGCCAGACAGGGTAACAACAAGTACCATCTTTTAACGTCTTTTGGTATGACGCGATCGGGGATCGAACCCCGGACCTTCCGCTCTCCGGGCGGACGCTCTACCACTAGACCACGGAGGCTAAGGGACCAACCGTTTGATATTCTTGGGGCCTGGAATTTTATCTAAAGAAATCCATTTTTGAAACAAATAATTGTGGTCCAGAAAGTCGAAAAAAGCATTGCCTGACATACATTGTTGCTAGATGTTTTGCTATTTTTAAAATCAGGCTTATAGTTTTAATAAAGCAAATATCTGGTTTATAGCTGAAAAAAAAAATATCTATATAAAATCCCACCCTCCACCCTGAATATCAGATGGTCGGTCCCTAACACGAATTGTATTTGGTAAAAAGTTACGTTTAGCTATACGGATCAAAATTGTTGTTTTTTCCACGGAGAGTGAGTGAGTTAATTTTTTACGCCACATACTGTAGTAGTCCTCTCCACGGTGTAAGTGATGGAATCTGGTCAGTCCAGATCAAATGTATACAGAAAGAGCAATGATTCACTCAGCAGGTGTATGATGCATCCCAGTAAGCCATGCCACACGCTGAAACCATCCCATGCTGATTGGTCCACTCTTACTACACGTATTGGGGGCACGGGTGGCCCAGTCGTCTAAGGCGCCGCGATTCGCTGTGCAGAGTTGCGTCCCTTGGGCACGCCAGAAACCTATGATTGTGGGTTCGAATCCCGGTTCGCCCCGATTATGTTTCTAGGTTTGTCAGCACCATACCCGTGCTCGTGGGTTTCACCGAAGTGGTAAACGTCTGAGACCTGCATCACTTCGGGCTTTCCTCCCACATTAAGCTGACACGCCGCGATATAACTGGAATATTGTTAAAAGCGGCGTTAAACCCAACTCACTCACTCACTACTACACGTATTTGATACAAGCGACCTGTTTTGTACCGGAATTCCAAGGAACCGTTAGTTCTAGACAATGAATATCAGTGTTGGTGTCGCTAGCTCATCGCGGCCTGGGGCGTTGGGTTGCCTAACGGTTAAAGCTCGGGTTTGTGGAGCCGAACACCCTCGTTCGAGTCCCCACATGGTACACTGTGGCAAAACATACATTGTTGCAAGATGGGTTTTAAGAGTACAGAGTCCCAAATAATCGACCTACAATGTGTAACCTGTCATGAGTTTCCAATTATCTTCTTTTCAGTCACAACAGTTCTGGGCTTGGTCGTATGTACAGCACGTGTCATCACAGGAACTGGAGAAGGTATTTAATAGTACATAGATAGTTTCATACACGCTGTAACTGTAGACTGTAACATAGTTATACTGACAATGTTACGTCACGTATAAAATCAGGGACGACGAGGTCAATATGATGAATTCACACAGCAATGACCTTCCTAGGTACAGTATATTAATAAACTATATAACAATTAATGAATATATATATATATAATAAAATAATAAAGTCCACGTTAGTCCATCATCTTCTTTATATCAGTTTATATCAGACTGATATGTCAGTTACACTGAAGAGCTGTCATGAGACAGCGAAAGTACTATGTATGAAACTGATATAAAGAAGATGATGGACTAACGTGGACTTTATTATTTTATTATTGTATTATATAATAAAATATATATATACATATATATATATATATATATATATATATATATATATATATATAGATATATAGATAGATATAGATATATATAGATATATTCCTTAATATATATATTCATTCACCCCATTGATATATATACTAGTATACATACAAACGTGAACAACTTAATTATGATTTGAAACATAAGAAGAAAAGATCTAGTAATTTAACAAGATGTAATTGATATTGTTTGCGTATATATTATATGTTTTAAATTATCGTAATTTTTTTCCCTATATATATGTTGCAGTACGATTTTCTCTCCTGTCAAATTGTTTACTTTACCCAAAATAGGATAAAATGCTATAAACTACGCCAATGCGTGTCTATGCAAAACTGTTTTATGACTTAACGTTTGTGAGCAGTTGTCCGACTGCCTTGTGCTGACCGTGACAACATGTCTAGTGTAAAACGTTTCTGATTGATATACCTATTATGGTTTTTTAGAATGATAAATTATAAATGATATTGAATATTTCTGTATTTTCTTCATAAGTGGGTCGGTCGGGTAGCCTAGTGGTTAAAGCGTTCACTTGTCACGCAGGAGACCCGGGTTCGATTCCCGACATGGGTACAGTGTGTGAAGCCCATTTCTGGTGTCCCCCGCCGTGACATTGCTGGAATATTGCTAAAAGCGGCGTAAAACCATACTCACTCACTTTCTTCACAAGGTCTTGGAACCCAGACTGCCTATTACATTGTTGTTCATGTACTAGAGACATGGGACTTTCTGTTATAAAGTTGTATTGCAATTCTACATTGGTTGTACGTTTTACTACATCAGAAAGTGGTGTCAGCACCTTATTATTGAGGCAGCTATTGGAGTTAGTGTTTAACGTTTTACTCCGTTGGACAATGTTGGGGATCATAAGGGGTTTTCGGGAACAAACTATTTTTTTCAAAGAAACTTGAACAAGCATGTGTGTTGAACAACAAGGAGTTTCTAGGCTGGCGCTTTCTGATGTAATATGGGATGGTGGATAGCCTAGTGGTTAAAGCGTTCGCTCGTCACGCCGAAGGCCCGGGTTCGATTGTACATGGGTACAATGTGTGAAGCCCATTTCTGGTGTCCCCGCCGAGATATTGCTGGAATATTACTAAAAGCGGCGTAAAACCATACTCACTCACTTTCTTCACAAGGTCTTGGAACCCAGACTGCCTATTACATTGTTGTTCATGTACTAGAGACATGGGACTTTCTGTTATAAAGTTGTATTGCAATTCTACATTGGTTGTACGTTTTACTACATCAGAAAGTGGTGTCAGCACCTTATTATTGAGGCAGCTATTGGAGTTAGTGTTTAACGTTTTACTCCGTTGGACAATGTTGGGGATCATAAGGGGTTTTCGGGAACAAACTATTTTTTTCAAAGAAACTTGAACAAGCATGTGTGTTGAACAACAGAGAGTTTCTAGGCTGGCGCTTTCTGATGTAATATGGGATGGTGGATAGCCTAGTGGTTAAAGCGTTCGCTCGTCACGCCGAAGGCCCGGGTTCGATTGTACATGGGTACAATGTGTGAAGCCCATTTCTGGTGTCCCCGCCGTGATATTGCTGGAATATTGCTAAAAGTGCCGTAATACCATACTCACTCACTCACTCACTCACTCACTCACTCTAATATTGTGTTCCAGGGCTCCCGCCCCACTGCTTCCAACCCTCTCACCCTCTCCCTTGTGAAAAGTGTGAGGAAAAAATGTGGTACGGCGAGAATTGTACTAAGGCATGCAGTTCGGGATGTAACGACTACGGCTGCAACAAGACGACTGGTGAATGCAAATCGTGTGAAGCTGGCTACCACTCTTTTTACTGTACGCTGGAATGTCCACCCAACTGTCTGAATGATTCACACGGGCCAGCCAAATGTGACCAGAACACAGCAAACTGCACAAATTGTCAACCAACATGGTGGGGGTCGCATTGCACGAACAAATGTGACAGCAACTGTAAGGACGGAGTTTGTGACTTTGATGATGGACACTGTAACGAATGTGTAGTTGGTAAAGCAGGTGAGAATTGTTCGGAAGATTGTTCCACGGGATGTTGGCTCCATGAATGTGACCGAGAAAACATGATTTGCACGGGTGGATGTACCCCGGGATATTTTGGTGAGACATGTGAAAAGAAGTGTAACGACAACTGTGTGTGCCGGGAACAGTGCCCAGAATGCCCCCAAAACAACGTCACATGCAGCAGCAGCAACAGCAACAGCAAATTCACCGGTACGTTCAGATGTAGAACAGGACAGAATAGAAATTATACATGTATGCTTTATCGTTAAAACTGAACAGATCATCTGTTCGAATTGCTGTTTGTTGAAAATTTGAATAAATCACATTTGACATTATATCACGTAAAAATATAAACGAGCGTGGGATGTTCGTTTGTTCGATTGATTGTTTGCTGTGTTTCTGTTACCACTGGCTTTATATCCACGGTATAGGGGCGGTCGGGTAGCCTAGTGGTTAACCCCCTGGATGCCAGAGGGACATATATGTCCCTCCTCTACAACCCTCACTTTGAAGTCTAATAAAATAAAAAAATACATCACCCACACAACTACACTTTACAGTTTTGAATAAGGTGGGAAATTCCCCGTTCTGTGATATCATCCACTGGCATTTAGGCCAAGCAAAAGTACGGAACATGACCTCTGAAAATTAGGCACATCGTAAATGTCGCCATTTTTTACACATTACTAAATCACCACTCACGGCGTTATATACAGGATGTTTTGAAATCTAAATTTCGGATATTTACTCGGAGAAATGAATTTCAAAAATAGCATATTAGTGATCACGGGTATCTGTCTTTTATGAAATCATCAATGATCATTCCAAAACGTCTCCGATAACCCTAGAATCGTTTAGAATGTTTTGGAAAAAACGAAAACACGAACGCCGAAGTGAACTTTCCGCCATATTGGATAGTGTTTACAAAATCACGTTTCAGTACGATTTCATCATTTCTGATGGGTATATTTTATAACTAAACGTGTACAGTTTCAATATCGATATTTGTGTTGGAATAGTTTGGTTCCTCCTGAACAAAACACCACGAAAATATATTGTCCTTACCCACAGCTAATTCTCACCAAGTGACCTGAGTTACAACAAACAAGAGCTAAGCATAGCGGAGTTATGCCCCCTTTTCTTTGTACGTGTGTAACCTCTCTGTCACCTTTTGACGTCATAGAGAAAAATCAGTTTTCGTCATTTACGGCATGCTATTTTTGGAATTGATTGTATGTCGTTATACATACGCAAATAACTCCATTTGGTATGTTGTTATGGCGTTCAGATATTAGGCAGTATTTTGTTCGCTCACAGTTTCCGTAAAGCTTCTTAATAAAAAAATTTGTCACACAGTACTTTTATGGGTGTACGATAAAAAGCGGAGAAATTTACTGTTTTTCAACGCAGAATAAATTATCGGACAACACTTAGGAGTGTCTTTTTTAAAAACCGGTTTGATATTTATAGTTAAATTTACACTTTTAAATAAAAAAATTCATATTCTCCAACTCTGTGTAATTTTATAGCCAGAGGTAGATCCAGTGCCGCGTGAGCGCAATTCTCGCACAACCTTCACTTTTCCGATCTTAGGAAAATGTGCGTCAGAAAAAAAACTCGGCATCCAGAGGGTTAACGCCTCACTCAGCAAAATATTCCAGCTACATGACGGCGGTCTGTAAATAATTGAGTCTGGACCAGACACGCCAGTAATAAATATCATTTTATAAATATCCCGTTTGTCGCCTCTTACGACAAGCTGAGTCGCCTTTTACGGCGATCATGGGTTGCTGAAGACCTATTCTACCCCGGATCTTCACGGGGCTGTTATATAATAATTGAATATATGTATTATCTTCATTGCTTGCTTCAATCACAGTTCAGAAGTGAGGTGAGGGGAAACGGGGTTTAACGTCACAATCTCATTGTTGAGAACAATTTTGTATGAGGTCATCCATTGTTCATGACGTCACAAATTGCATGACGTAACGAAAGTTGATCTTCCTTCTTCAGGTGTTAATGCGTCAGCGATTGCTGGTTCTCTGACTGGGATCTGTGTCATCGTTGTAGCAGTAGCTGTTGTCGGATGTCTCGTATGTAAAAAGACACGGCGCTTTAATAGGTAAGACTGTTTTTGCACAGCACCCAGTCAATTATCCAGTCCCCCTCGATTATCCAGTGCATCATACATCCATTCAATCATTGGAAGTAACCCGGATGGTTGGCTTTCGTTTCGAAACCTTTTTAAACAGCCGTCAAATCAGACTGGACACATGAGCGAGGCAGAATCCTATGTTGAATTAGTGGTGAGGTGAGGTGAAATGGGGTTTAACGTCGCGTCCAGGATTATTGCACTTGTATAGCGACGTGCATGCACGTGTATGTGTGTGTGTGGCTGCTTGTACTAGTCCGGACTGATGCCGATTTATAGTGCTAGCTCACTGAGATACCATGCCGCAGTTTAACATGAATGCCCTACTCAGACACAGTATACTGACTCTGAGCCGACCAGTCCTTGTTTTAGCCCCTTAATGCCGAGCGCCAGACAGGGTAACAACAAGTACCATCCTTTTTGGCATGACGCGGCTGGGGATCGAACCCCGGACCTTCCGCTCTCCGGGCGGACGCTTTACCATTAGACCACGGAGGCGGTCTTGAATTAGAGACAATGGAGATGTTCTGAAGTGACCCGCAATGGGATGTCCTCAGATCTTTGTTTGGGCGATAGTGATTGCTGTGCGCATGGATCCTCCCAATTGGGATACGATGACGTCTATCGGACGGAGTTTGAGACTTTGAAGATGGACGCCGCATTTATCAATATTCCAGCAATATCCCGGCAGAGGACACCAGAAATGGGCTTCTACACATTGTACCCATGTGGGGAATCGAACCCGATTCTTCAGCGTTACAAACGCTTTACTCCCCCACCCGCCTCTTGCGACAAGCATGAACTGAATATATCATACCAATGGCGGATCCCACCGGATAACCGTGAATGACTGAAGTAGTGTGTTACAAAGGCTGATTTAAAACCAGAAGCCTGGTTGATATACTCAAAGTCAAAGTGAAGGGGATGATATTCCATTGCATCATTTTAGGATGTTTTAGGAGAAAACACAAACACAAATCTCTCTCTTTTCTTTGAAAATTAAAAAAATTGTACTAGTTCCCATAAGGACTTAGTTGAACCGGATAGGCTTCTAAAGATTTTTGTTTTTAAATTTCAAATAATTATTCAAATTCTGACTATCACTTTATGTTTTCTTCACGCAGGTTATGGCAAACGTTTGCTTATTTAACATAAGACATAAAGCACTTTTACGAGTGACTTTCGTTTGGGCGATGGGGTAGCTTTGTGTAGACTCGTGATAAAAGCGTTCACTCATGTCACTTCATTCCCCATGTGGGGACGGTGTGTTAAACTTATTTACGGTGTCCCTGGCTGTGATATTGCTGGAATGCCCAATCACCCACTCATAATGCGCCTGAGCAGGATGAAGCAAGCCTGGTCTGTCCTAACACGCTGTTTGTGGTGTACGCAGATGGGAGCCTGAGCAATCTGGCCATATATTCCATGTGATGTTATTAGTTACCAATGAATTATGATCATCAACTACTTTTGCCTGCGTGAATATTTTTATTATTTTAAAGTATCATATAATTGTCACCTCTACAGAAAGTAATACATCATCGAGTCTTCCTATGTTTTTATTACATGTTATCAGAACAAAACATTGAGAAGAATGAAAAGAAGGTTGTCGTTTTATTAATATATATTATATATAAATGCATGTATACATTCCAGATTGTTTTGGCGATGTCGAAGCAGGCAACCATCTGAGGCTGCTAATAATGACGTTCTGGAGACTTTAGGTAAAATATATACCGAACTTTCCACAGTTATTTCATACATTTCTCTTAATAGAATTACTGTAGCGTACATGTTTTTGATGGAGTAAAGTCTAAGTTATTGGTCCTTTAAAGTATATCAATTACACTTCTATGTTTTTAGCACAAGATGAAGATACAGGTGGCAATGATTAGGACGGTGTTTTATCGTGGGATGCGAGGACTTGTGACTACAGAACAATAACTGAAGAAAGTGCATGACTGTCGATGGAACGACATAGTCGAGGAACAGATATCATTTTTAATACTTACATGCGTACTCTTTTCGCGAACATCTTGTGTCATCACTTTTCATTCCTATGATGTTCATCGCGATGGAATCTGTTTCGTTGGATAATCAAGACTGGTTCTTCTCTGGCGTTGACGTTTTTTTATCATGCTGTAGTGTCAAATGTTGAATATGAAAGCTAGTACTTTATGTTATCATTTGTTAGATAAATGTTCCCGTATCAGTTCCGAAACGTTGCATTTGAAGAATATTTTTTTTATGTGTTGATTTTTATTTTTAGTGATTTTGCGGGGTTTTTTTTCTTTTCGGGTGTGAAAGGGGCGTTGTGGGGGGAGGGGTGGGGGTGGGGGGTGGGGGGGGGGGGTGGGGGGGGTGGGGGGGGGGGGGGCACACTTTTCCTTTCGTTTTTCATAATAATATTTTTTTAAGTTGTATATAACGTATGAATCCCTTCTCAGATTATTTTATCCCATTTCTATATGATGTACTATTTTACTTCTCTGTGTTGTTCTTGTTTTCTCTTCAGTATGAGGTTATACTGTATCATTTTTTGATATTTTGATATTTTGCAATATGTTGTGGTCATCTGTTATGCAAATCAGTTTCGATGTGTCTTTTTAACAAGGTGTTCTTCATGAAGATCTACCGCCAGCCCGATTGTAACAATTACATGTACACTTGGCTTTGACGATGCCGGTTGAAGTTGTTCAATACAGGCTGGCGGTGGGTGTTGTAAGCTGTATGTTTAACAGAAACCTGGTTGCACCATGATATTCTAGCCACTGATATTACACTGATACCATTTTCAAATCGTAACCTGTATTAAGAAATATATTTTAGATCTTAAATCAGAGTATAACGGACAGCCTGAACTGGAGGCGCGCGTGGATACGTTGACAGTTTTTACGTAGTTAGTGTTAAAACCGAGTGTTTGCGAGCATAAATAAGATTTCTGAATTCAGTTACAACAGTAACCGTACATGTATTTGTTACATAAAGTCATTTCATTCAAATTTGTTTGGTATGATTATGTCTTATAATTATTTTAGGATGGAAATGCAGTTACCAAATAAAATATGCTGAAATATCAATTCATTATGACCTTATTTCATAATCTATTTTTTAAAGTAACCCTCCTTACATTAAAGATAACTATTTAAAGAATATAGTACTTAAAGACATTGCAACAAACCGAATAATCAGGGGGGAGACTTTATACTGAGGGGGGCGCGAAATATATCCGCCCGGGGGCGATTTTATTTCAGAAGAAGAAGAATATTTTATTATAGTGTCACCCGCTGTACATATAAAATGACAAGGCAAGAATGTAAAAATTCAGCGGCCGGCCAAAATGGCCTACGAGACACTAAAAGACTCAAAGAAACAATATTTTATATGTGTACACACCACATTTAAAAGTAATTATGAAAATAATATTCATAATATTATCCCCCATACAAACATCCTATATACACACAACCACATCCATTCCCACATCCAGGCCTTCACTCACAGCAGCTTACGCAAACCACGCAAACACACCCGCTCATTCAGACACATCCAAAACCTCATTGACATCAGTTCAATCACATCCGAACCCTCGCTCGAACCCTCACCGTCACACATTACCCTCACGCACACCCTATTTCTTAAACACACCCTCACCTGTATCCATTCCCGCATCCACACCAACTCCCTCATCCGCACCATCAACCACGTCCTCACTCGCATCCACATCCCTCCCCGCCTCCACAAAAGAAGAAGCACCAACCACGCACAAAGACACCAACAAAGTAACAATCCACACACGCACACACACACACTCACGCACCCGACAACATGAAACAAACACCCATCACAACCCCACGGGCCAGCCACCCATCACAACCCACAGCACCCCCACACATCAACCCTACAACACAGCAAAACATGATAGATGATAAGATTTTCACACGCACACAACTACCCAGTTTATTGTTTTATATATTTTCTTCTCCGAAACATTGAGAAGATTAATGCAGCAAGTGGTTTAACCAGATCGTCGCACTGCATTAAGAATACGGTTTGGTCTGCCGGAGACATGGTAATAAACGAGGGGTAAATAAGGGATACCTTCTGCAAAGATTAAGTCTTAGATCTCTATAACAGTCACACGTTACCAAAAAGTGAACTTCATCTTCAACTGTTTGGCCGTTACATAAATTACAGACGCGTTCAGAAACAGGGGTTTTCGGGCGTGTATAACGACCTCTTTCTAATTCTAAGGGTAAAGTTCCACAGCGAAGTTTAGCTAAAGTGCGTCGTCGTGATCTATCCAGAATGTGACGTACATAAAATGAAACATTCAGACTGAGTGTATTTTTAAACAGTCTAAACGTTCTAAGCTTATTACCTGTAGTAGTATGGCCAGTGTCATTCCAAAGTATAGAATTATATATATATATATAGAGAGAGAGAGAGAGAGGGGGGAGAATTTTATATATATAGAGAGAGAGAGGGGGGGAGAGAGAGAGGGGTACATATATATAACAGTATATTATATATTATAACAGTAACTGACCTTGTTACACATTTCATATCATTAGAACACCACGATCTACATGGGAGAGTGGAGCATAGTCTTCCTTCAAGAGAGAGCCGTGCCACATGTTAAACATAAACGCCATGCTTCTCCAGGACACATGGCTGCAGAGTTCCACCGTATCAGCCCATATACACCAATGGCAGGCGGCGAGGTTCTGTATGGAAAAGACAAATTTAAACCATGGAAGGGGGGGTGGGGGTGGGGGGGTGGGGTGGGGGGGTGGGGGGGGGGGGGGTGGGTGGTTGATGTGGATTACATGACTGTTCATAGGCAGACTCAAATTGGTACGTATGCCCTCATTTGTCAAATATCTGACCACTCGCTTGGGGTACTCGGATTGTGTGTGTTCTATGCATTACGTGATTGTTTCTTTCTTTCTATCTTCCCTTGTTGTTGAATGCCAAACTCAGTTATATTTCAGCTTTATGACGGCGGTCTGTATATAATCGAGTATGGACAAGACATTCCAGTGAGTGACGTCACGAACATCGATGGGATGCGATGACATGCATCAACCAAGTCTACTAGCTTGACCCCCGATCCCGTTAGTCGGCTCTTTCGACAAACATAGGTCGTTGAAGACCAATTCTAACCTGGGACTTCACGGGGTTGTATTACATGTCTTGTACTTAGCTCACATCAGATGGATGCATGTAGGTACGTGTAAGCTATTAAGCCATGTATAGATGGAGCAGCGTCAAGCCACAACACATCGGAACCTTCATTAGATTGCCTATAGATTAGAGTGCCTATAGCTATCGAGGTGGGTCGACATGCTAACCCGCCAGATCCTTGAGGTACTGTGTACTTTCTTCATATGTTGAAGATAATTATTTATTCACAGTTACTTTAGTTAGTTACTTTGTCAATTAAACACTTATCCCGTCTAAATTGTTCAGTTAGTAAATTAGTTAGTTTTAGTTCTTTTTAGTGAGTTACTTAGTTACTTAGAAAGTTAGTTAGTTCTTTCTTTATGAAAGGGAAATACGATAGGGAGCTTCCAGGTTATTTGTATTGTGTGTGTGGGGGTGGGGGGGTGGGGGGGTGGGGGGGTGGGGTGGGGGTGGGGGGGGGGGGAGACAATTAGAACAATCAATTTTCCAATCTGTACCCAACAACTATTTATTTACTGAGCATCATGAATTAATCTATTCATTTTCAATACTAACTTTTTTCGCCCTTGCAAACAAATAGAAATCAAATGGATCACATGGATGCTCATTACGACCCATGTGGGCCATACCTTGTATTTTGGTTCAGCCTGCTCATTCACACTGAGAGGTGGATCGGAGGACGGACTACAGTGAAGTGCCTTCAACATGCACTATTCACACGGAGAGGTGGATCGGAGGACGGACTACAGTGAAGTGCCTTCAACATGCACTATTCACACTGAGAGGTGGATCGGAGGACGGACTACAGTGAAGTGCCTTCAACATGCACTATTCACACTGAGAGGTGGATCGGAGGACGGACTACAGTGAAGTGCCTTCAACATGCACTATTTACACTGAGAGGTGGATCGGAGGACTGACTACAGTGAAGTGCCTTCAACATGCACTATTTACACAGAGAGGTGGATCGGAGGACTGACTACAGTGAAATGCCTTCAACATGCACTATTTACACGGAGAGGTGGATCGGAGGACTGACTACAGTGAAGTGCCTTCAACATACACTATTTACACGGAGAGGTGGATCGGAGGACTGACTACAGTGAAATGCCTTCAACATGCACTATTTACACGGAGAGGTGGATCGGAGGACTGACTACAGTGAAGTGCCTTCAACATACACTATTTACACTGAGAGGTGGATCGGAGGACTGACTACAGTGAAGTGCCTTCAACATGCACTATTTACACAGAGAGGTGGATCGGAGGACTGACTACAGTGAAATGCCTTCAACATGCACTATTTACACGGAGAGGTGGATCGGAGGACTGACTACAGTGAAGTGCCTTCAACATACACTATTTACACGGAGAGGTGGATCGGAGGACTGACTTCAGTGAAGTGCCTTCAACATGCACTATTTACACGGAGAGGTGGATCGGAGGACGGACTACAGTGAAGTGCCTTCAACATGCACTATTCACACTGAGAGGTGGATCGGAGGACTGACTACAGTGAAGTGCCTTCAACATGCACTATTCACACGGAGAGGTGGGTCGGAGGACTGACTACAGTGAAGTGCCTTCAACATACACTATTTACACGGAGAGGTGGATCGGAGGACTGACTACAGTGAAGTGCCTTCAACATGCACTATTCACACGGAGAGGTGGATCGGAGGACTGACTACAGTGAAGTGCCTTCAACATACACTATTTACACTGAGAGGTGGATCGGAGGACTGACTACAGTGAAGTGCCTTCAACATGCACTATTCACACTGAGAGGTGGATCGGAGGACGGACTACAGTGAAGTGCCTTCAACATGCACTATTTACACTGAGAAGTGGATCGGAGGACTGACTACAGTGAAGTGCCTTCAACATGCACTATTTACACGGAGAGGTGGATCGGAGGACTGACTACAGTGAAGTGCCTTCAACATGCACTATTTACACAGAGAGGTGGATCGGAGGACTGACTACAGTGAAGTGCCTTCAACATGCACTATTTACACTGAGAAGTGGATCGGAGGACTGACTACAGTGAAGTGCCTTCAACATACACTATTTACACGGAGAGGTGGATCGGAGGACTGACTACAGTGAAGTGCCTTCAACATGCACT